TGAAATCCCTATATATGAAGTTTTAAAACATGCAACATTGTATGTTTACAGAACTGATGATATCAATAACAGGTTTATAAAGCATTCCATCCTAAGTGGCGAATGTAACTGCTGTTTGATGTGAAATTAAAAATAAAAATAACAAAAGCAAAATAAGAAGATTGAGGTTTGTCATAGTCGTATAATAATTCATTGTCCATTCATAAACAGAAACGTAACTTTTGAACTGGCATTTTGTACAATTGATTACTATTTGTGATTGTTTATGTGATTGAGTATGTACATATAGTGATAATACTCAATAGTGAATACTGTTAATGAGTTTGACTAGTATCATGTGCTATGTTTATGCTGAGAAACACTTAACATCTAGTTGGACCAGCTGTTTGGAAACATCACGTCACTGTACCAGCATGTGAATATTCCATGCTTTGTGTTTAAGTTTGTGTTGGCTGGACATTAATTATAACTGGACCATACTGGGTTTGTTGTTGGAACAACACAACAGTCATCATTGATGCCATGCAGGGGTTTCGCCAGAAAAACAAAATAGACGGCCTATTTTGGAAACAAAATTGAAGCCAGTGGGCGTGGCACTGAGCCGATCGGGCCACGCCCATCGTTAGTAATCCCCATCGATTATTGGTACGAAAACGTACATTCAATCAATAAATGTTGTTTTTATCAAACGTAAATATGATTTACCTTTAGTTTAATGTAACATTCGATAGATTTGAAGAATATATAAAGAATTTGCTAAAGGTAGACCAGGCCCAAAGGCTAGGCCGAGCTCATTAGGCGGCCAAGCCGTCACGGTAAAAGTTGCCGTCCTAAATAATTGTACGCAGTCCAAAAGACGGCCGGACGGCTCGCTTGCTAATATACGCTTGCACTATCTCGCCACTATATTTCCATTAATAAATTTATCTATGCTGTCCTACCTATGAAATAGCGTGAAATATTTGTTTTATTTAGTTTATCTTTAAAACTTTATTTCGTGAAATATTGCACACTGGTAAGAAGTGAACATGCCACAGTTTTAAACTGATGGGCGCATCCATGTTTGTGCTGTGGATGTCTACTTCCAAAGTGACGGAAATACCAACGCGCTGATTGGCCGACTTGGCTTTTCTGCACAAAGAATGAGACGTAAGCATCGGATCGGAGTTTAGTTTGCTAATATAAACACAATCCCGAGTAAATCTTAATGCTTTGCATCGGCTGTACCGTGTATACAAATACACTCTTTTTATACTACTACTATAAAACTAGGCCTATTCTAGATAGAAGCAAGGACTAGGCTAGCCTAAGCCTAGACGGGACGATGATGGAATGGAACTGCAGGGATAAGCCCAGTCGGCTGGCGTTCGGACGGATGGTAAACAAGCCTATGCCTATATAAATTGCCTTCGGGAGAGGAGTTTTTGAGTGTTTTGTAAAAAAAAAAAAAAAAAAAAAAATTCAGGTCGGGGGCTTTTCTGACGGTCGGGCGGGGATGCTAACCAATTGTTTTATTTTATGTGGCCTAATAGCAATATTTAGTTATGGAAAGCAATTACCCACACAAAAGCGACGACTCAACTCATTTGTACTTAAATATTAATCCTGAATATAATTGAGATATTTTGTTTTTTATAGTTTTAAGTAGACAATTTGTAAACCCTTTGCATAGGTCTAATGGGGATATTATGGTCAAGTGATATAATCTTTAAGGGTATTACAACAGGAAGTTAAAATATGATTAGAGAATCCATTTTCTGGAAAAAAGCAATACAGTACTGTATAAAGTGTAATGAACTGACCAGTACTTAAGGACAAGGTCAGTGACCATTCTCTGATATCCAGGTCAAGGAGAAGTACCATACCTTAATTGTGGCGTTCTCATGATATTCTTACAAATAAGTCAATTACTCAGAATGGATTTGAAACAATTTACATAATTTCAAGAGGTTTTTAGTTCGAAAGCTCTGAAGGATATAAAATTAAATTTTAAAAAAATTAATTAATAAATAAAAGAACTGCTGTTACTAATTTAATAGCATCAAATATTTGTTGTTGATTTATAGTACTGTAGTACCAAATTGCAACAAAGATACCGGCCTTCCAATCCAAGGGTTCTGGGTTCAATTCCTTTCAGTGTTGCAGTATTTTTTTCTCAAACCAAAAACAACTCCATAATACCTAAACCACATACTGTGACTTAGTTTGTGTAAAGCATCGTGTGTGTATGTTTGTCTTGTGAAAGGGATTGTCAGCTGCAAGTAGGACAGTGATATATATTCGCTATTGACAATCATTAGAATATTATTTATTCTAATTGAGAGATAATATCGTATTACTGTATTTATTCAAATAAATGACCTGGGGCTTTTATTGTTGAGAAGGGTTTTTGAGGGGGCGTTTATTCGAGGGAGGCGATTATTCGAGGGAGTGTTTTTATTTATTTTTATTTTTTTTTGGTAAAATGGATTTGTAATGTACTCAAATAAACACCCGTCAGTTTCACTGTAAATGTGGAACTACAATGCAAAACTACTATAAAAATGTGACTGCGTAATCATAAAGAATGACCCTAACCAAGTTAGAAAAAATGTGATTCAACAGGAGTAGAACATAACTAGAAAGTATTGAGATTGATGTCTCGTCCATTAGATATGTTTACAGTCATTTATTTGGGGGGGGGGGGGGGGGACACAGTTTATTCAAGGAAAAAAATAAACGCCTGAGGCTTCTATACAAAAAAGGTCTTTATTCCAAATAATGCTCTAGAGGGGGCATTTTGAAATTTATTTGAATAAAAACAATATAAAATTTTATCCATATATTTTTCTTTTATCTCAACACATACGTTACGTGTTTGCATTTACCAACAGAAGGATCCCACTAGAAACAAGTCTTGGGACTAAAATATTCCCCTCCTCTCCTATCCTCTAGGACATGGATCTAAATTCATTCCCGCTTTATTTTATTTACTGGTACTTTATTATTTTGCCTCCTGTTACCTCTCTCTAGTTCATTTTAATTGTACTCTTGGATTTTCAACAAAATAATTTGCACTAATTCTTATTATCTTTTTTTCTCCACTTTCCTGTTTCTAATTCCAATATTGCTCTATTTTCATTCATTCCAGTTTCCAAACTTGTCTTCCTTTTCACTGTTTCTCTATTGTATATTTGTCTTCTACTATCCAATTTCCATCTACTTCCTCAAAATGTTAACAGTTTACTAATATGGATTCATTGTTGCTATTAAAGAAAGTACAATGACTATCAATGTATGGAGAGAAGCCAATTAACGACAATCTAGTTCTTGATTAAGAATTGGAAATTAAAAACTTAATACTGTACACGAACACACAAGAACAACAGAGGGCAGCATACAGATAATCTAATTACATCTTAAAATTTAAAGGGCCTCATTCTCAACAATACATATAGAAATACAGTAGTATTTATTTAACTCCATTTCCTTCAGTTTTCTTAGTGATTTTTAAAAAATTCTTTTGAGATGAAGGCATATCAAACAATAATAACAATAAACATAAACAACAATAACAGCAGTGTTACAAATAACTGATATTTATATTGTGTCTACAGAGCTGCTGTGCTTGCAACATTTTTGTAGACACTGACTTCAACCTAAATTTCAATGATTTACTTTCACTTTTTACATTTTTATGGATAACTTTGTTTTTAATGTGTATGGTGCTCTGGTCTCTTGGAAAAATACATAATAAGTGATTATTATTAATATTATTATTATTTAACATGAGTAGTGTTTATTATAAATTCTCAAGGAAACGAAACATCAAGGCATGTTGTAATATGGACCATGCTTAACAAATATCTGTTCAGATTGTCACCTACTCTGCGGTGTCAAGCTGACAAAGCTTCACAAACGGCTGCAGAGGAACGTCATTGACAGTCAACTCATCAGATTGCAAAATTTTGCATACTAATTGTTTATGGCTACATTCAGATTTGGAGATAAGCCGGGTTTGAGTTAAGCCCAGCTCAACGTTAATTTATATATTAATGAACAGTAACCGGGAAACGAGTTTCTAAACGTTGCATGCGAAATGTATTTTCGCTCACAGCACATGTAATTGTATGCTGATTGGTCAATTTTTTACCCGAAGTCAACGCAAGACCCCCTGCAGCGATTAAGGTCCGGTTTAGAAAAGTTAAACACGGTGGCACACCAGGCCTAGCTACTTTAGGATTAGACTAGGTTTATCTCTCCCCACCCAGGAGTATCTTGTAGGGCAGGTGTGGGCATAAAAATCAGTCGGAGGCCAAAGTGAATTTTTGATTTTCACAGAGGGCCGCACTCAAACTTTGATGTTTCCAGTAAGATTTCAAAAACCTCCCAAGCACTGCTTTTTACACCACTTTATTCTCAGTGTTAATGATACTTTTTACATATAATCGGTGTCGGGACGTAAAAAAGATAGTTTTTTTTTTAGCCAGTGATTTTAATTAATTTTTTCGGCCCGCAAAAAAATCAGTGACTGGAAAAAATCTCAATGTAAGATGGAATGAATAATATTAAGTGACTTCTTTCTTTTGATTTCTGTATGTTAAAAAGGGCATGCTTCTCCATACTAAACATCCAAATTTATTTTTAGTCACAATGTACATTCAAAAAGCAAACATAGCCAAACTCGTAATGATTAAATTGTACCACCTTGGAATATTTGCAAAGGTAATAGAACATGTTTATATTGTGCATCAGAAAATTGGAATGAACTTCCAAACAAAACAAAAATTAACATTAAAGAAATTACATTAGATTCATTCCAAAAGTCTATTAATTTATAATTTTTACATTAAATTGTCTTTTGACCTTGTTTTTGTGTTTTTTTTTTTTGTTTTTTTTTTCTATTTTGATGGTTTGTTTGTTACTGTACTACACTGAAAACCAGTACTCAAGTACTAGCACAATTACAAGTACAAGAAAGAATAAATAAATAAATTAGATAAATTTGATTTTCTTGTTACCTGTTTCTTTTTCCGCAATGGCTGAAGTGGCTCATCTTCCTCCTGCTCCTCATCTTCACCTTCCTTCTGCTCTTTCTGTCTCCATTCTCTTTTTCCACCAATCTTGTTGGTAGCTTCAACTTCATTTTTTCTTAAAATCTCTGGTTTTTCCTCTGCTTTTTTTAACTTCCAAACATAAGGAGACTAATGTGAAAAAAAAAAACCTAGTTCAATTATGTTACAGTTTTCATTACAAAATATACATTACTCCCAATGGTTACTTTATCTCTACTAGAAACCTTCAATAATGTAAATTAATTGAAAGTAGTGTGGGTTCGGTAGGATGAGCTTTATATATGTAACAGGAATCAAGTTATATGGTTAATGGTTATTAATTTATAGAGCGCAAAATACAAAGAGACTCTAAGCACTATCAGGCAAGTGTAAAGATGGAACGGAAACCAAAACCACAAAATAAAAAGAAGTGAAATTTGAATACCATGCCAGCACCCAAACCGAAGTGTGGGGATACGCCCTCATCGCTGGCTAGGGTTCAATCTAATTGAACTACAGTCAGCACCTGTTGAGTCTCGGCCATCTCGGATTCGGGCGCCTCCTATCCTAGTTAAGGCTATAAAAGCTAGCTGGCATGGAAATAGAAAAAAATAAATAAATTAAAGGGACAAGAATAAGTGGGTCTTAAGTCGTTCTTTGAAAATGGTGACAGAAGGTGACTCACGAATAAATAAAGGTAACAAGTTCCACAACTTGGGCCCAGCAACCATAAACGATCGCTCCCCACAAGACTTTAACCGAAAGGATGGACAATAAAGATTGGTTGAGTCAGTTGTTGACCGGAGGGAACGAGTGCAAGTTGCAGAACGAACCTTAATTAATTCGGAAATGTATTGGGGTGATAACTTGTGAATTGATTTGTAAACATATAAAAGTACTTTGAATTCAATACGCTGTTTCACTGGCAACCAATGAAGACGACGAAGAGTAGGGGTGATGTGATGGAATTTAGGTGTCCCAGTGACAAGACGAGCAGCGATGTTCATCAATAGCTGCAGCTTTCTAATTGATGTTAAGGGTATTCCGTAAAGGACTCCATTACAATAATCCAATCTTGATGTAACCAATGCATGTACAAGTTTTGATGTAGCATCTTCATTTAAAAAACGCCTAACTGCCTTGATGTTGCGGAGATGGAAGGATACTACTCTGCATGTGTTTGTAATATGTCTAACCATGGATAGTGTGGAGTCAAACGTTACACCGATATGTTGCACCTCAGAAGATGGAATGATGTAGGTGTCTCCCACGCGGATGTTTTCAATGTTGGGTACATTTAGATGGCGTTTAGGCTTTATATACAGCACTTCTGTCTTGTCTGTATAAACATCATCAATACAACCTTCTAAGTTGTGAACTATATCTCTGCGGCAGCCTCCGGACTAAAAGATGTGTACAATTGCGTGTCGTCGGCATAAATGTGATATTTAATACCGTGTTTCTGAATGATGTCACCAAGAGGACGTACGTAAATAAGGAACAAAATGGGCCCCAAGGTAGTACCTTGAGGAACACCAAAATTCACTGGGACTGGAACTGAAATGGCTGATTTCACTCTAACAGACTGTTGTCTAGATTTTATGTAAGAGTTGAACCATGTTAATACTGTACCAGAAATCCCTAAAGCTGAAAGTCGATCAATGAGGATACTGTGATCGATGGTATCAAACGCGGCGGACAAATCGAGGTACACTGATTATGTACAATATCCGTTGTCAAGAGCCTGCAAAATATCATTATTAACTTTCATTACAGCAGATTCCGTACTGTGTGCTTTTCTAAAGGCTGACTGGTAAGAATCAAATAAATTATTGGAATTTAAAAACTTAACAAGAATTGAACAGACAAATTTCTCAATGATCTTGGCTACAAAAGGGATATTAGTAACTGGCCGATAATTGATAAACGAATGAGGATCCAATGTTGATTTTTTCAAGAGTGGCGTGATAATACCAATCTTTAAAGAGTCAGGAAAAATGCCGGAGGATAGGGACGAATTGACAGGAGAACGAAATAATGAGACAGCACAATTGAGTTTACGAACAATCTTGGTAGGGAAAGGATCCAAATCACAAGATTTTGGTGCCTGCCATAGATATAAGAAGTTTTGCAACCGTGTCTTCACTGACTGTCTCAAAGCTTTCAAGTTTGGTGATATGACATGAGGGATGAGATGCGGCCGTGAAAGATGAAACTTCAGATTTGATAGAGACACTCTGACGCAGACGTTTGATTTTATCAACAAAAAATGTGTTAAAGTCAGTAGCCAACTGAAGCTTACTGGATGATGGTGGTAAATTTGCCGCGGTTGTCCTACCAAGTAGCTTGTTGGCAAGTTTGAACAGAGCTATCTGATCATGTCCACATCCGTCGATCTTAGACTGGAGGTAAGAAACCCGAGAATCTTCAAGCGTACGGTGGTAAATATTGCATTGAATCTTATACTCGGCGAAATCACAATGATCTTGAGTTTTCAGCCATTTCCGCTCAGCTTTACGTCTTGCTTGTTTAGCTATCCTACAATTATTGGTGAACCAAGCAGGGGATGCATGATTTGAAATGGTCTTAGATTTTAATGGGGCCAGTTCATCTCTAAGTAAGGTAAGTGTATTGTTGTACTGGGTTGTTGCGTTGTTCACATCCATGTCATCACTAAAATTAGAGAGAGAATGCGCAATTCTCCGATCGA